CCTGCACCATCTGTCACCATACCTGCACCATCTGTCACCATACCTGCACCATCTGTCACCATACCTGCACCATCTGTCACTATCGCTGGGCACATCGAAGACATTGGCCGCTTGCCTGTAGAGAAAATAATATCCTTTTGAAAATTATTTTTTAAAGACAACATTTCTAAAGAGGCCAGTGTCCCCGATGTTACGAATGTACAATTAATTTCTTAATTTATTTCTGAATTTAAAAAAAATACTTTTCAATATTTTTGTTATATTTTTAAAATTATTTATTCTGTTAATTAATTCATGCATTGTCTCCAACTTTACGCAAGTGTGCAAAATTTCTGATCAATTGGACAGGTAGAAGTGTGTTAAATATCGATTATAAGATTTGTAGCAGACAGACAGACAGACAGACAGACAGACAAACAAACAAACAAGAAGAAGTGAATTTAAAGAGAAGTTTTGTAAGACGGGAACAAATTCACTATGATGAATGAGGATAAACGTCGCTTCCTCTATAGTAAATAAAAATGGGGTCTGGTTCACGAAAAATGAATGAAAATAAACTTGAGACTCACAATAATGAATAAGGATTTACGTCTGAGTCACATTGATGAATTAACGTGTGTGTGAATGACGCAGAATACTACATAGATACTCAACAAAATGTGGACCTTACAAACAGTTTCTTATAAATTTTATACATATGTAAAAATATATCTTAAATCAATATGTAACGCCTTCCTCGAAGAACGCTACGCCTAGAACGGTTCAGCATTAGTTACACCTCCTGACGTACTGAGCTCTAGGCTTAAAAGGAGGTTCAATAATTTTATACTTATAAAGTTTCTTCGTTTAATATTGAAGGAACTGAACAGTTGCAATTATTGATTATGTCTGAAAAAACACGAAAAATGAATACACAAACAATTTTGGCAAGGTTATGACAAATATCACAGAATCTCAAAAAATACACCAGAAAATACACAAACAGCTTATGAACTAAGAGAACACTGAACAGGTTAAGCGACCCTGGTCGCGGACAGAGTAAAAGTGGCCGGCGGAGATACGTGTCCGTAAATTGCATACTCTAGCAGGTGTTGCCATATGGGCATTTCGCACTACATAATCGCTAAATTAATGAGCTGCGGCTACAGAATATACGTTATAAGTTTATAGCCTTATATATGTAAAAATATATGTTATAAGAATATACATTATGAAAACATATGTTAGAAGAATACAGCATTATATATACAAAAATACATGTTATAATAATATACGAAATGTATTATATAAGATGTAGGCTGCGGCCCCCACCAGGTACGATGAAGTTAGCCGGTGATGGCGGGTATATGTAAAAAATATATCTTATAAGAATATAGCCTTATATACGTAAAAATATATCTTATACGAATATACGGAATTTATAATATAAGATGTAGGCTGCGGCCCCACCAGGTACGATGAAGTTAGCAGGTGATGGCGGCAGGCCGAAGTCGTTGGTGATGTTGGGGGAGGAGAAGTCGTCCATCTCGTTGTTGTAGATGATGCCGGTGGTGGCCATCATCACTGCCCCGAAGCTGGGGTGTGGCAACATCAGGATGTTAATATCCTACATCGTGATGTGAGTATCCTACATCGTAATGTTAATATCCTACATCATGATGTGAGTGTCCTACATCATAATGTGAGTATCCTATATCATGATGTGAGTATCCTACATCATAAACTAAATATCCTACATCATTAGGTGAATATCCTACATTGAATATCCTACAGCATAAACTAGATATCCTACATCATGATGTGAATATCCTACATCATGATGTTAGTATCCTACATTGAATATCCTACTTCATGATGTGAATATCCTGCATCATGATGTGAATACCCTGCATCATGATGTGAATACCCTGCATCATGATGTGAATATCCAACATCGAAAACAGTATGTCATATGCTTCCCACATTGCCCCCTCATCCCCTCACTAAGAGTTGATGGTGGAGGTGCCCATTATCCCTCATCATCCCCCCTCACTAAGAGTTGATGGTGGAGGTGACAGCGATGGCGTCCCCATTGGGTCCCAGGATGGAGATGTGGGCGGTGCCGTGGTCCCGGGGGATGTAGGTCTGTCCCCCGTAGTACTCTGGGTCCTGTGATGTACTGTTGTCCAGCACCTGCAGTCTGATGTACTCAGCGTACGCCTCCGACGTCAGGTTACTCAGCAACTGTACAGTGTACAGTGTACAGTGCAGTGTACAGTGTACTGTGTACAGTGTACGTCAGGTTACTCAGCAACTGGGGGGTGTACAGTGTACAGTGTAGTGTACAGTGTACTGTGTACAGTGTACGTCAGGTTACTCAGCAACTGGGGGGTGTACAGTGTACAGTGCAGTGTACTGTGTAAAGTGTACAGTGTACAGTGTACGTCAGGTTACTCAGCAACTGGGGGGTGTACAGTGTACAGTGCAGTGTACTGTGTCTGTCTCTTATACACATCTAGATGTGTATAAGAGACAGGTACAGTGTAGTGGACAGTGTACTGTGTACAGTGTACGTCAGGTTACTCAGCAACTGGGGGTGTACAGTGTACAGTGCAGTGTACTGTGTAAAGTGTGCAGTGTACAGTGTACGTCAGGTTACTCAGTGTACAGTGTACAGTGCAGTGTACTGTGTAAAGTGTGCAGTGTACAGTGTACGTCAGGTCACTCAGCAACTGGGGGTGTACACTGTACAGTGTACACTCAGACAAAATAATGGGTTAAATTGTTCAAATTGAGACATCGGGGAAATTGAGACCGACTTGGGTCACGATGACCCACTCCATAGCAAAATTTTTCCATCGCTGTCCCAACTCATTTATTCACACCGCTTATTCAGAGTGGATTCTAAACAAGTTTTTATTTAATTTGTGTGCATGTTCTTGTGTTAATAACCGCTTATTAACGTACATTATTAGCAATTTTTCTAACATGTTTCTTAATTATACTAAAATTTCTCTTGTAAGACTAATATTGGATTTTCGAAATCCGAAAAAACGCGTAAAACGATCGGACCGGCATTTCAGTAGCCGTCCGGCACATGAGAAAAAACATCATGTAGCCGCTTTTTTTTAATTTAACGCAAATAGCCAGTACCAAATTTGAAAAAAAAATTATTTGCGCCGAGCTGCCGGTCACTAGAACGTCATTTTTAACAGTATTTCGTATAACAGATTTAGTATTACTAAATCTTGATAAATTAGAAAAAACGGCGAAACAACCACTAGAACGCCGTTTTTTACCGTTATTTCGACCAGTTAAGAACTACCATAAATCTTGATACAGTAGAAAATCAGCGAAAAAGTTCATTTCACGAGTCGGCGGCCACTAAATAGAAGGCAGTTTCTTGCCGTTATTCCGACCAGTTAAAAACTACCCTAAATGTTTATGAATATCCTGCGTGTACTCACGTCCTGTACGTCGACGTACTGAGGGTCCCCAAGCTGGGTCCTGAGGGCATATGCGTACTTGAACGTCTCAGTGATACGTTGATGTGTGAGCACGCTGCTGGACACGTCCTGGACGTCGTTAGGGTCCAGCCCGTACCCGTCCAGCACGTTCAACATAAACCCCAGCAGCACGCCCGACCCTGTCGGTGTAGAGCTCAGTTGACGCTGTTTTTACCGCACTTTCTCATTTATGGAAAAAAGGCGCTATTGTGCTCGTTTTGTCCGTCCGTCTATCCGTCTGTCTGTCCGTCTGTCTGTCTGTCCATCTGTCTGTCCGCCTGTCTGTCCGTCTGTCTGTCTGTCCGTCCTTCTGTCCGTCTGTCTGTCCGTCCGTGACTTCACGTTTTCGTCGACGAGAAAATGCGCTCTCTGTCACTCACTGCATTGAGTACTGAGTTATATTTTTTCATTATTTTTTAGGGGTAATGAGAAGATTCGTATCATTAAAACAATTGAAAGATTATTCGGTAACTTCATATTAACTCAACGTAAAGATCTTCGTAAGTACGACCGGTGATGATGATGGAGGGGGACCGGTGATGATGATATGGAGGGGTACCGGTGATTACCTGGAGGGGGTCCGGTGATGAGGGTGGCATTGGAGGTGTTAAGGGCAACCGTCATCGCCTCTGACCACGTCACTCTGTCCGCACATCCCACATCATTATAAATATTATAAATCAAACAGATAGAACAGATTAAACCGGTAATATAATTACTTGAGGCTGTTAAACGAATATTTCTTTAACTTACAAATTTATTATTCACTGTTTAATGTGCCCATCCAGTATATTAACTAGGATGACTGGATGAAATTACTGAAAAAATTAATTTCTTACATGTTATATGGTAAAATTGCTGGGTGTTGATACCTGATTTCGGTGAGGCAGCTGTCGCTGGACTCATAGTCTCACTACTGTGATTTTATTTCCTTTTACGAATCACAATATTAGTTCAATTTAATTCCGCGCTTGAACGGCAACTAAAGGTCTATTTTTAATGCTATATCATATATTTCAATGCTATATCCTTTATTTTAATGCTATATCCTTTATTTTAATGCTATATCATTTATTTTACTGCTATATCATTTATTTGACTGCTATATCATTTATTTTACTGCTATATCATTTATTTTACTGCTATATCATTTATTTTACTGCTATATCATTTATTTTACTGCTATATCATTTATTTTACTTCCATATCATTTATTTTCCTGCTATCTCATTTATTTTCCTGCTATATCATTTATTTTCCTGCTATATCATTTATTTTACTGCCATATCATTTATTTTCCTGTTATATCATTTATTTTTCCTGTTATATCATTTATTTTACTGCCATATCATTTATTTTACTGCCATATCATTTATTTTCCTGTTATATCATTTATTTTCCTGTTATCTCATTTATTTTCCTGCTATAGCATTTATTTTCCTGCTATAGCATTTATTTTACTGCCATATCATTTATTTTACTGCAATATCATTTATTCTAATGCTATTATATCACACTGAGGTCACAACACCCACTGATATTCCTCCATGTCCTGGGTGGTGATGATGCCCCCGAGCTGTGCCAGGTCCTCAACGAAGCCCCGCGCCAGGCTGCCGGTGTAGAGGGCGTCTGGTTCCTGCTGCAACACCCGCAGGGTCGCCGCCAGGTCAGGGCGGTAGAGCATGTCACCCTCCAGCAACACGTCCCCCGTCGTGTTGTCCACGAAAATGCTGGGTGAGCAAGGAAACATGAGTCACGGTGTTATCTGGGAAACATGAGTCACGGTGTTATCCGTCCATATCTCAGTAAGATTTTGTGAAATGGTAGCGCGATGTGCAGTTTTCCATTATCAACGTGTAGCTATCATACTGATTATTCAAAAGACCTTACTGGTGGAACAATATCTACACATGTAGTAGGTAGCAGAAGTATTCTTCGGAGGAACGATAGCGGCACCAACAACTCATGCTCTGGGTCACATAAATGATCGCTCCTCGATTTGAGAAAGAATTTACTAGTTATTATGAGGAACGGAATTAATTAAGCAATGCCTTGCACCTAATACATTATATTGCCTACCTCATGCTAGGCTCGGCCAGGATGTACTCCCTCTTCTGCTGCAGGGCTTTGGCAAGATGCCAGGACACAGGATGCCCTTCCTCGCACAACCGCAACGCGGGCACGAAAAGCTCCGCCCACTCTAAGGCCCCGCCCACCGCCTCGTACAGCGCGCGGTAGCCTCGCACCTCCCCGGGCACCGCCACGGCCAGCGCGCCTGCTCAGAAAGTGGGTCAATGCGAAATCAAACCTTCCATGACTCACTTGTTAACGCAATCTTTGTACCATGACGTTTCGCGTAATAACAACGCACCACGCACGGTCCACGTACCCACTAAGGACAACTTAACCCGTACCCATGGCATGCCACTTACCCACGACGAACCACGTACCCACAAAAGAGAGTTGTGCGTCGCCGTGGTACATATCCTGGTGGGCGGCGAGTGGGGCACGCTCCCTTGCGTCGAGGGTGAGTGCCTGCCCCGTGGTGGGGTTGTAATGGGTCAACATGAACCCCCCACCCAACCCCATCGACTGGGGCTTCACGACCCCCACACAAAGCAGTGCCGCTATCGCCGCGTCCCCCACGGTCCCTCCTGCAGCCAGGATATCCCTAGGGAAGGAGGGGGAGGAGGGAGAGTCGTATTGCGGTGGAGACAACAAAGTGTCGTGAGGCGGTGGGCACAACAAAGTGTCGTGTGGCGGTGGGCACAACAAAGTGTCGTGTTGCGGTGGGCACAACAAAGTGTCGTGTTGCGGTGGGGACAACAAAGTGTCGTGTTGCGGTGGGCACAACAAAGTGTCGTGTTGCGGTGGGGACAACAAAGTGTCGTGTTGCGGTGGAGACAACAAAGTGTCGTGTTGCGGTGGGCACAACAAAGACAACAAAGTGTCGTGTTGCGGTGGAGACAACAAAGTGTCGTGTTGCGGTGGGGACAACAAAGTAGGTAACATTGCCGTTGTCTAGGACTTGCGTCTACAGACTTAGAGTATGGGGACTTACGTCTACAGGCTTCGAGTATGGGACTTACGACCACAGGCTTCGAGTATGGTGACTTACGACCACAGGCTTCGAGTATGGGGACTTACGACCACATGCTTCGCGTATGGGGACTTACGACCACAGGCGTCGAGTATGAGGACTTACGACCTCAGGCTTCGAGTATGAGGACTTACGACCACAGGCTTCGAGTATGGGGACTTACGACCTCAGGCTTCGAGTATGGGGACTTACGACCTCAGGCTTCAAGTATGGGGACTTACGACCACAGGCTTCGTATATGGTGACTTACGACCACAAGCTTCTAGTATGGGGACTTACGACCACAGGCTTCTAGTATGGGGACTTACGACCACAGGCTTCAAGTATGGGGACTTACACCAACATGCACGGCGATTTACTGTTAACAATATCGAACCTTTAATACAATATTGTGTACAACTAAAAACACAGAAGTTAATTGGAAATAATTTATGTTTTTTTTTCTGACTTTGAAAGGGTTTTACTGCTGATTTTATGTACAACCGAAAACAGCGCCGTTAATTGTAAATAATTTATATTTTTTCCGACTTTTTATGGGTTTTACTGCTGGTTTTATACACTTTGCTTTGTTGAATTCGGGTTACAAAGTTCTTTGGAGGTTCGACAGCTATTAATGTCTGTTCAAATATTACCACCGTACCAGCAGCTGGAACGAATTATTCATTGATAATCAATGCAGACGGTTATGAACGAATTACTGGTCTGCTATGAAAGACACCTTACACGTCTTACACGAAACACGGTATGTAAAATTTAGTTCAATATTTTGCTTTAAGCGAACGTTTCTGGGAGGTCATCATTAACATAACCGTAAAAATTAACAACGTAACAGTAAGATCTCGTGAATTATAAAACCAGAAAATATTCAGACACAAGCTGTGCTTGGATTGACGAGGGGTTTAGTCCCAACAAGGCGCTGAAAAACGAATAATTCATTAACAAAATCTACATTCGCCGCATGTATTTCGTTAGAGCATCTCTAGCTTATGACTGGGTATATTTCCCAAACCACAATCATGCAAATTACATCATCATAATCATCACCACCATCACTCCCTTCATAAACTCACCTTCATCAGGTTGCACAACTGTGGTGGTTGACGCCACCAGCAGGACGACAGCGTAGAGCTTCACCAGCCCCATCCTTACGGGATCCTACAGCTGCTCCTCACGGGATCCTACAGCTGCTCCTTACGGGATCCTACAGCTGCTCCTTACGGGATCCTACAGCTGCTCCTTACGGGATCCTACAGCTGCTCCTTATGGGATCCTACAGCTGCTCCTTACGGGATCCTACAGCTGCTCCTTACGGGATCCTACAGCTGCATGTTATTGCGGTTATTATGCAGTTGTGATTAAGGGTTTTAAAATTGTGATTAAAATTTAATCAAAGGAATTATCGATAAAAATTTATATGCTGTGATATTCTGTCGTTTTATTGTATGTGTTGTGGTTTTAATTTTGGAAGAGTTTAAAATTAAGAATGTGATGTAATATAGATGTGGTGATTGTGTCCAAAATGAGATGATAACCTTGCAGCTCTGAGGGAAATGAATAAAGTTGAAATCAAATTTTTATCTATTGTGCTGTTAGCACACAACCTGCCGCTAACAAAATTTATAATCGACCCAAGAGAACTACACACAACCTGTTATCTCCTTTTCGTGAGATAATCCCTAGATAAAATTCCACATAAACCATAAATCTTCACGAAAAAATCTGCGCTCGAAACTCGTGGTCCCGTGTAGGGATACTGCATGGTATCTTGCTTGGTAACGAAAGCACGGCAACACAGGGTGTTGGTATTTGAATGTTGCACTACCCGCTACTACCGTCCTCGTGTAGAAGTACCTTAACATAGATTATATTCAAACAAGACTGTAGGCAAGATGCCAGTCTTCGCCCGACTGTCCACGTGACTGTAATAGAGATGCCGTATTCTCAGGGACATCGATAAGCTATCGTAGTGCAGCTGCTGAGCAGCTGTTGCACCTGAAACCCATCATGTGCAATGTGTAACCTCCATCTAAACACGCATTACGAGAGATGTATAAATATATAAATATGATCTTACTCTATACAAGTGCGATTGATGACCAGAGAATTCGTTTATTTATATTATCAGGGAGTGGAACTTCTCTTCAGATGTTTGTTGCGTTAGAAACGTCATTAATGAACCAAAAACTATTTCCTGAAACTTGCCTTTTAATCCACCGTCATCTGAAGAAAAGCTCCACTCCCTGATAATATAAACCAACGAATTCTCTGGTCATCAATTACACGGTGTTCAAACAAGTAAATTCTGCCATCTAATATAAATTTAATCTCAATGTGTGCATTGCTGCATGGCTTGATGCAGCCAGAAGGCGACAAAACCACCAGAAATCCGCATTAACAAATAATTATTGTATCTATCAATTCGCAGCGTAATGGACATGTTAGGCTTCCATCAACCCTCTCCTATACAAAAAAATGTACTACCTCCAGCTGCGAACCGATGTCTAGACGATACATATCGCGGCGTCTATTACGAGGACGTCCAAGTTTGATAAGGTTTCAAGGTATCATCAAGGCCGGTTAGGTCGAAATATTAGGCTAGGTGTATCAAGTCGTCGTTCGTCATTGTTTTAATCGACATGAATAAAGGACCCCAATTGCCCTTGTGCAAAAAATTTGGCATTTCATTTATAATTCGATTGCTGAAGGTCAGGCAAGCTGTTATTTTCTCCGAGTACTGCGATGGACTCGTGAAGACGAGTGTACACTGTACAGTCGACTTCGCAGCAGATGGTCTCGTGAGACACGGGTTTCTACCTTCATTGCAAGTTGTTTATAACAACCGAAATTTTCATTAAATGGAAAATTGTATCCACCGGGCATTAAAAGCGGTTTTCCTTATAAACCGAGTTGCCAACATCACATCAGTGAACATCATTTTAACAATCAATCCACGAATGTGTGACGCTCGTCTGTTGCTCTTAAGTTGAGACCCAAGGATACGCATGAAAACTTTTTCCAGCTAAATACTGGCGGAATTTTTTAAGTATTCCTCGGAATTAAATCACTACAAATATTACATGGAGGTGAATTACATTATTATTAATAAAGGTGAATTGCATTATTATTCATACAGGTGGATTAAAGTATTTCGGTCAAATGAGCGAGGGCGAGATACGAGGAAATAAAACGCCAAGAAGAGGGAAGAAAAACATGTCAACACTTTATTACTTAAAAACCTTACACAGATTCGCTAGCATATATAGGCAGGCACAAAGATCAGAATAATCTTATGGTAGAGGAGAGAATATAAACATCCGGTTTAATAAGGATAAAAATTTTAAACTAAAAGTGTACAAAATTCGTCAATCAATAAAAATGAATAATACAATTTAGATACAAACTACTGTACAATTACTCTGGAGTCGACAGTTGAAATTAAAATCATACATCATTTATTAAAGCAAACAATATAAGAATAAATTTCACCTTAGTTCTGGCTCAATAATCTTCTCCTTCATTTTTATTTCAGATGCAAGACCACAATGAATTAATCTAATACTTTTTTATTCATTCCCGACTACAAATTAGGTTAGAAGACAGACCCGCAAAATTCAACTATGAGCTCCGCGATCGTAGTTTCAAATTCTGGCCGATGAAGGAACACCAAAATAATTGCTTGTATTTCAATTGTGAGGAGACGTTCACATTGTTCCCGAAGTCCGATCCTTACAAGATGTTGGAAATCCAAAGGCAATTCCCAATTGTCCAAGAAGACAGAAAATGAAGGCTGGAGAAGAAGCGACTTAGTTTGGTGGTCGTTGAAATGTTGCGTGTAGAGTGCGAGATGATTTTTAAACGTATTGTAAAACTGGTCGTTATGGTAACTATTGTGCACTTTCATCACAGCAAACGAAATGAATCTTGCGAGTAAGACTCGAAGGTTATTTTCATAAGCCACGAGGAAAGAGTGATCATAAGAGCTGCTAAACGAATAAAGGCTTCGGTAATAACGCTCCATTTCGTACTCCGTACCAACCCTGGCAAGAGTCTTAAGTAATCCAAAATTATCCTGTTCCTCAACTTGAACTTCTTGCTGGAAACCTGCCTCATCTTTCACCGTAATTTCATTTAATGGTCTATTAAAGAAAACAATCTCATTACTTGGTTCATTTTCTGAGAAAAGTGTGGAAGGTGGTGAGATTTTAGCCAGCCTAGATCCGCAGTGGCCACATGGCAGTCTGCCAAGATTATGAAATGCTTCATTATCTGCATCATAATGATTATGCTGGGTATCATCATTGCTATTATCTACGTCAGCATCACTGTCATTATCGGCATCGTTGTCATGATTACCATCATTCTCACCGGCTTTAAAATCACCGTCACCGGAATAAAAGTTGCCATCACCATCCTTTTTGCCATCACCATCCTTTTTGCCATCACCATCCTACATCTTTGTCGCCATCATCTTTGTCGCCACCATCTTCGTCGCCATCATCTTTGTCGCCACCATCTTCGTCGCCAACATCTTCGTCGCCAACATCTTCGTCGCCATCATCTTCGTCGCCATCATCTTCGTCGCCATCATCTTCGTCGCCATCATCTTCGTCGCCATCATCTTTGTCGCCACCATCTTTGTCGCCATCATCTTTGTCGCCATCATCTTTGTCGCCATCATCTTCGTCGCCATCATCTTCATCACCATCATCTTCATCACCATCATCTTCATCACCATCATCTTCATCGCTGCCATCTTCGTCACCATCATCTTCGTCGCCATCATCATCGTAATCATAGTAATCAGAAATGTCATCGTATTCATCATCATCATAATCCTCATCGTCATCACTATCATGCTCACAAAAATCATCATCATCATCATCACCTCGAGGAACTCTGTGTTCCATCATCATCCCATTACCACCACGCCTCATCCCCCATCGTTGGTACCCATCATATGTATCACGACACCAACGCCTGAGGGCCTCCACAGCGCGTCTCAGAGGATCTCTCCTTCTTATGGATCTGTCGTTCTCTCTTATGTTAGGGTAAAAAGGGTCACAAGAATAATCCGTATAGACTCCCAGGTCGTTCTCGTCGCTGTACATCGATGCTTCTGAAGGCCATCCAGACGAAGTGGTCTCCGTGTCTCTGTTGGTAGAGTCCATTGAAACGGCGCTGTCTGAGAGTCCATCCGAATCCGAAATGACTTCTGAATCGTCGGATTCACTACCATCCAGCCTAGGAGAAGCGTTTGAAACATCGGATTCACTTCCATCCAGCCTAGGAGAAGCGTTTGAGCTATCGGATTCACTTCCATCTAGCCTAGGAGAAGCGTTTGAACCATTGGATTCATTTGCATTCTGGTTAGGAGAAGCGTTTGAACCATCGGATTCGCTACCATCCAGCCTAGGAGAAGCGTTTGAACCATCGGTTTCACTTCCATCTAGCCTAGGAAAAGCGTTTGAACCATCGGATTCACTTCCATCCAGCCTAGAAGAAGCGTTTGAGCTATCGGATTCACTTCCATCTAGCCTAGGAGAAGCGTTTGAACCATTGGATTCATTTCCATTTTGATTAGGAGAAGCGTTTGAACCATCGGATTCGCTACCATCCAGCCTAGGAGAAGCGTTTGAACCATCGGATTCACTTCCATCCAGCCTAGGAGCGTTTGCATTGCTGCCCTCGCCTCCTATAGGTTCGAGAGCGTCAATATCTTCAAATTCTCTTAAATTATTCAAGACAAATTCATTTTTAGGCCTCCTGTCCATTTCTCCTCGAGTCCTCTTCACATGAATGTTTGAAGATTCGCATGTAGATTCATTCTCGTTTTCTTCAGGTAGTAAATAATCCATAGGATCGGATGACCATCCACTTGTTCCAGGCTCTGTATTCCCGTAGTTATTCTCATGGCTGAACGAAGGGTCTGTTTCCACGTGGCCTATGGCAGCGTCAGACCTGTCAAACGCTCTTTCATCCGCGCAGCGCCCCAGGGATAATATCGACCTACTCGTTTCGGCTCTTGATTGATCATATGTTGAACTCCGTGAGGTTGAATTTCCGCATGATGATATCCCGGGAATCTGGTTTGCCGTTGAAACGGTATTTTCTGATAAAGTGCACGAATTTTGTGCTGTTGTAGAAGTTATATTTACGCTCGAAGTTGACATAGTAATAGATAATAGAACTTCTCTGGAAATATATGCATTGACAGCATCCATTCGGGGAGTAGAAGCAGAAAAGTCAACTGTGGGAGATGCAGGAGATGTGTCAGCTGGTGAAACTGAAGAGGAAAGACGCACTGGTGAAGTTGAAACATTCACTGGCGGCCTCGAATTAGCCGAAGTTCCTGCTGGCTGATTGTTAGTAGGGGAATCTTGAGAAGCGCCGACATGGTTGGGCGAGTTAGGAATCATTCAGGCTTTATTATCAAATGTTTTCTTCTTAAATTGGCTGCCTCCTCCTGTTCACGATAATGTATCAACAGTGGGAGGGAGCGTCAACAAGTTATGTAAATGCTAAAATAAAACTGGAATGGTATGAAATGTCTGAAAATTTTTATAGTTGATGAAAATTAATTAGTAACAAGAAACATGTTTACAGACAACTTCATTTCTGAAACAAGATTTCCTGATCAACGAAATACTTTATTTTAACACCAGGATTAGGATATTGCTGTTTCCATACCAAATTCTGAAATTTCCAAACCAAATTCGATCGCGCACAAAGTGCATGATAGATCCAGCAGGGTTTAGTAGTACATCAGCTAGTTCACGACAGGCAGCATAGCGATATCATGAAAAGGAGGAAGGTTTAAATTACCGCGCACTTCTCTGTTAAGTGGAAATTCATCAGCCTGAAGGTGAAGGCGCTCGCAAATGGCCGGTAAGCTACGCTGGACGGGAGGGAAGCGCCAGTAGCATTTGGAGTGATGAAGAACCTATAGTTGAACAAGATGAAAAACCAGAAAGAAATTGGTGAACTTCAACATATACGTTGCTAAGGTAGGTCAACAAAAAAGAAGAAGGAATAGGTGATCAACAACATGTACGACGACATCAGGATCAGCGATTGCTTGTCTCGGAATGAAGGGAAGTACAGGCTATACTATACAGGCTATACTATACAAGCTATACAGGCTATACTATAGCCTATTAGGAACTTCCCTTCATTCATGTTGTTGATCACCTATTCCTACTTCTTTTTTGTTAACCTACCTTAGCAACGTATATGTTGAAGTCTATAGGCTATAACTCCATAAAAAGTCAACACATTACTACTCGGCCCGTTCTTCCATGAAGAAACCAGCTTAGTTTTAGAAAACATTTGATCGTGTGATATTGAATTCTAACTGAGACTTGAAACCTAACCCAGCATTCGATTGGCTCCCTGGTCAACAATGGGTGACGTAACAGTCGTAACTTCTACGTTCACGATGCATGCAATGGTTAAGCTTTAAAACCCCGAAAACCCAACCCTTATTCTACGGTTTAAAACCATGGGTATGGTTAAAGAATTATATTCGGGCAACAAGATTACGCAACTAACTTGTGACAAAGCAACTGAACTTCAGAACATACATGCCGAGAAAGAGATCATTAAAATCATATTGATACAAAATAAATCTAAAGGATAAACACTTCAAGTTTCTCATTACGAACCAACTGGATGTCAACCTCTAAGACTCGAGTGAATTGCACTTTTGCCCCACTTTTTAAATGCATAGAATCAATTTTTTTGTGGAGAGCAATCTCGTTGCCCATCTGCTCTAACCAACAAATAATTGAATTTCTCTCGAAACAATCGACCAAGTCAGCCAACCAACCTACACCAGCACCAGCGTTACATCGCCCGTTTTCATATCTCGACTGTAGGAAGGAAATAGACGTAGATAGATAACTACCACACATACTTAATGACGTTATAGATAATACCATTTCCCTAGTGACTCAAGACGCAACAAGTCTGGAACTGTGGAACATTTTCAATCCTAACAGCCTCGTTGAGTAGGATGGCTTGAAATTATTTGGCTTCTCCGCGTTCTCCGACAGAATATAAACAACTTGACCCTGCAAGAACGTATGAATGGCATTTCACTAAGCGCATAAGGGATCAGACCCTACAATAAGCACATGAAGACAAGCGCAAGAAAGGCATTTTCTACTTAACACCGACCGAACACTAAAAACGGCCTGGCCTTCTAAGAGCACATAATTAACCTAACCTACTAGAAGCAAGCTGCAGGACTGCTCAGTATCTATAATACTATCGCCATAAGGCAGTTCGAGTCTTCGAGTTTAGAACACTAAAATAGATATTCTGAAGAGCTGGTAATCGAAACAGATAGGTACCGTATATCGTTATTTTAATCACGATTCTGCAAGATGCACTAGTTAGTTGGTTTTTGTTTTCTTACAAATTGATAAAAAGTTCAATTTCGCCATCATAACACGCACAACTCTTGGCGTTAAAAATACAATGGGTGGTAAGTAAACAAACAGATTTCTATTTAAGTCGCAACGCAATTTTCTTTGTTACAACTCTCATCTCTTTTATTTTACTCTCTTTTCCTGCCAAACTCACAGGAAGTTTCAATTCATGATTCATAAAATATGTCGTGAATCTTAGGGGTCTTTTACGCTTAAGCTGTTGGACAAATTTCAGGAAATTCTTATTCCCTCTGGCAAGTTTTAGCGCAAAAGAAAATAACATAAACTGAGGTAAATAACTTAACAATACCATTGATCAACCTACTAAATAACAAAATTGATTAAAAATCTTAGAAATAAGACTTTCTTCGAATACAAGATCCTCTTCACATCAACCGAATCGACACTTCAGCGAACTCGCCTGCGAGCTCGAATGCAAAACCTAACTTCATTTGCAACTCTGGCACTCATAACTCCTTCAATTATGAACGGATTTTATTCAAATTTGAAATATAAGTAGATAATATCAGTAATTTGCGGACGGAATTTTTTCAGATTTTTCGATTCGGTCATCATCGATTCGGTTTCACATCATCTAATTCAGTCTTAGTGATGTACTTTGATTTAAGGTTCAAGCCAGCAGTTACTGACGAGTGAAGCGACATGGTGTTACGGACTAAGTGTTGGAATATTTCAAATCATGAACTTTCTCCTGCATGAAGACCGTCTACCAGCGCTTCAAATCAAATTATGGTTGATTCGTAACTTGTAAAAATTTATTGAATAAATTAATAACGATCTTTCCGGCAACAGGCGTATAAATAAAAATTCTAAATACTGTATGCAAAAATTACGCAATTTAAGATTAATATTACAAGGGTGTGTTAACAGGACTAGAAATCAAAGGATAAAGCAAGGCACATTTTCGCTTATCAAGATTTAATTGATAATCCGGTGGATCCTGAAAAAGAGGGCAGAACTTCATTCAAGGGCTTGGCGAGATTGGTTCTCAATACCGGAATCTTGACGAATCTGATCATCAGACAACGGCGTCATGGGTGATACTTGGAATCTGGTATTTACCACTTTTTACATTCATATTTCCCCTTATTATTTGAACACCTCGATTTATATACATTATCACGGTTTCCTTCAACTAAATTATACCTACAGCAGCACCCATACATTACGTACTCTCACAAACCGCAAAAACGTGAGAATAGTAAAATAAATTTTTTTTATACTCACACGAGAACAGATGCGAAAATTTTCTTAGGATTTTTCCAACCCCCCAGGGAACTGCAGAGGCGGCACCTAATTTGTCTGCTCAGCCGCTCGCGAGTTCGACAAATGTTCCCGATTTGCATCCAATAAACACTTAATTACTTTCACTAAACACCGGTTATCTTCTCAATATCTATAACTGAACTCGTCAACCACACTCAACTCTCATGGACGGAACACAATTCTCCTCAAATCTGCAGCTTGGTATAATTTTCTTGATAGTAAAAAGCGTACGGTACCTGTATGACAAGTTAGCAAACAGACTCGACTGGAACCACAGTGCCAACGTTAATTGTCCAATTTGTAATACGGCAGCAATTTAACTCAACTGAAGATCAAGTCACGTGTTAACGATATACCAAATTCATAAGTATATATAGAAATAACAACGCAAAAGAACAAGCGATATTGCCACGAAGTTCAGGTTGACATGTAAATGTAATTTTCGCTACAGATATGTTAATAGGTCTGCGTTAGTATAAGTCATCCTCCAACCAAAGGTTAGGCAATCTCAGCCCATTTTGAAATGTTATTTACCGCAGGAATTTGAAACGGACATTTTATCAATAAAATACAGGACAAGGAAAGTTTTCACGATGTTCAAAATCTTACAATGAACGTATCAAGGTAAGAGCAAATGAATTATAACAAAGTTGTACAACTTGATATGAAAATTGACCTGATCTGTACGTCATTTAAATGTAAGGCCTTTTCACTGTACACGCGGTCCAAGCTACCAGCACCAGCAAGAAATATCAAGTCCCCTCTCAATAATAATGATGCTCAATATACGTAGTACAAGTCCATTGCTGAGTTACTATATACAGTAATTATATAATACCTACACATTCAAAATAATATGTCACTGCAGGCTACGATTATGATACAGGTCCAAAATATTTAAATTACTATGAGCACATTCAGGCTAATATGTACACAATTAGGCACGACGATAGAATTTTATAACATTAAAATCTTTGGGAATACATGGAAGCTTCATACACATATGTTGTACGATGTATAAGGCTAAGTTTTCTAAATACATGACAACTTCTTCAACGATCTCTCCAATACATCTTACACTTACGATGAAGACTGTATAAAGCTAAGTTTTTTTCTAAATATACAACACCTTCTTCAACGATCTCTCCAATACATCATACACGTATGTTGTATAAATGTATAAAGCCAAGTTTTCTAAACATATGACATCTTCTTCAATGATCTCTCCAATACATCATACACGTATGATGTAGACTGTACAAGGCTAAGTTATTTGTAAACATATGACACCTTCTTCAACGATCTCTGCAATATATCATACACTTATGATGTAGACTGTATAAAGCTAAGTTTTTTCTATATATGACACCTTCTTCAACGATCTCTCCAATAAAGACTTTAGCGACGCCCGACATGGCGATGACGACGTTCTGCGACACGGAGCACCCGGTGATGGTCTGCATGAGGCGCTTCACTGCAGCCTTCGGGAACGCCGAGCGTCGGTAATAGTAGGGACCATCACGCCAGCAACGTGGTGAAGGTTAGGCAGGTAATGACCAGCACCCTGACAATAAGGGTACATGTTAGGCGAGTAGGGTGTGATATTTTCACACAATCGAGGCAGCTAAGTTAAGAATAATAATTCTAGGAACCATTGATTTTAAATTCAACCAATAAAGTTTTGGAGTGTATTCATGCTGTTCAGTTTTTTCATATAGATAGGTAATGATATAAGTGCCATCAAAAGTTTGGAGTGATCAGTTTAGTCTGCCAGATCCTCAAAGGCAACCTAGAATCTATGTACAAATTTATGGTGTGAAATGAGGAATTTCTCACAAGGGACCAGCATGCTGACAACGGGGTAGGTACATGTTAGAAAATGAATATAATGACAAAAACTTTTACAGAACTAGCCGGTGTTCCATATTAGAGAAGGGTAACCTTCATTCTTCTATAGGTATAATTCTCCAGATGTGGACAGCAAGTTTGTCAATATCAGTACCATGGGTTACCATTTTCTTTCTGCAAGAACCAATTTAATTTATTCTTCCAACTCCAGACATGAAAACATGACATAGGTAATGAATGACAAAACTCACTGCATCTTTTCTCTTTCTTCCTCTTCAAGCTCCCGCCTGCTTTTTTTAGACATCATGGCAGGGGTTGTGGGGGTGGCTGGAGGTCCAGCTTTATCAGCATCAGCGGCAGCTGAGGCTAGCAGGGCAGCTTGACTCGAGTCTTGAACATGTGATTGTCCAATATCACTGCTCATGAAGAAAAAAACAAATTATTTTAATTCTAGCATTGTTAACTCAAATCGATGCCACTTATCACACAGAATAATATGGTATATATATATAATTAAAAAAGTAATAATGAGAAGAAAATAATTATATTCAGTTATTTTCAGAGAGCAGGGCATGAATGTAAGATTATTTCAGACAGTGGAAGTTTGGTTCAAATATTTCACAGATGATGTCAAATTTAATTATAGAATTAAGCACATTCAAACTGAAAATAATACCGCAGAGCCTAATGACCTTTTGTCTCAAATTGTTCCAATACCCATTCCCAAACAAAAAAAATTTAATAACATGCAAGAATTTTTCAGCAACACAAACCCCCAAATACAGGATTTGGAAATGGTTATTTGATAGTCTTGTTTGCTCTTCTACACAAAAGAACCTCTCATGTGCATATTCCCTTGAAATTACACCTCACAATGGTTTCAGAAAGGTGACTTACATGATCAGGATTTTAGCAATTCTAAAAATAAAAAAGCAAACAAATACATATACCTACCATACTTTATATTGAGATGTACCCTACCAGTGCATTTTATTGTGAATATTAAACAGTACCATAATTCCAAGACAAATTGAATCAACAAAACTTCAATGAATTAAAAAAATTAATAAAATTTAGTACAAACCTATCATCAGACTCTCTTCTTCTCTTTGCAGTGGTTGACTGGGCATTGGCTTCAGCGTGCTGCCGCAGCCAGTCATAGGGGCCTGCCTCAACATCACTACCTGAAAAATGCAAAGCACTTTGCTAAAATCATCAAGATGATATAATTGTGTGCTGAAATAGTCTCCCAATATTGCAATCTAAGCTTCATGGAAATATGGCACATATATGTAGTACATAGTATACCAGTGTTGAACATTCATAATTTCACTGGTATACTATGTTGAACATTCATAACTTCACTAATTCGCCAAATAACAGCCATTTTCATCACAAATAATTTATATAGTGTGTACACTTTGTATTTGAAAAAGTAATATATGTATGATTCACTGATTAAACTTATAAAAAACTTACCATTTATTTCACTATTGCATTCAGAGCCCTCTCTTGACACTCCATCACACAAATTATGATCAGAAGAGTTGTCATCCAAACTACTATCAAGGCCTTCTAAACTGCTATCCATTTTTAAAAAATAATTTGTTTAATTTTAACTGGAAAAAATAAAAGGTATGTTAAATCAAATTTAGCTGATGAATCAAGATTTAAGAGTAATCTATTAGGTGTGCCTGAAAGTAGGTACTAGTAGCTGTGATCAAGGATTTTTTCAATGTTATATAAGCTAATTAATACCTCATGTATAGAATCTTTAGGCTGCAACTCTAAATAACCACCAATTATTACCTATATAAAGCCAAGAAGGCTTCATTGTAAGCTTTGAAAGATTAAAATATCATGACCTAGAAAGCCCTTTTACAGTCTAAGACTCTAAGTTTCTCTCAATACATTTAATTTAATGCAAAATAGTGTTAATTCAAGCAAATATTTGAGGCATAATTGGAGTTTCCTGTGTCTCTTCTTCATGGTGCCTTCTAAATGTCATGTATCTATGAAATTGAGGAGCACAGTGGCCAAAAATAGGAGCTCGTTTGCTCCAATAAGTGCAGGACAGCAGCACTCTCCACTACAAGCAGGCCAGCAGCAGAGGCAGCAGCAGCAGCACCAGCAGCAGCAGCAGCAGCGGACAGCAGCACTCTCCACTACAAGCAGGCCAGCAGCAGAGGCAGCACACTTGTCCCACTGGCTGCAGCAATATGAGCGGGATGACCTCAACAACTAGCACTGTTGGAGGGCCTTCAAATTGCACACATTCCCCTCCCCTGGTCCTCAAGTGATTAGTACTCGAGCACTCTAGCCATCCTGGTGGATCTAAATGACCAGCCACTTCCTACAATTCTATGATGCTCTTCTTAGAGGTTGAGACTATATTTATATCATAGCAAGCTACAAGTGAGAAGCCTAAACAAGGTCTTGATCTTTCATTCTAATAATAAATACAAAATAACAAATATTTATAAACACTTTATAAAACTTACAAATTTTTTTGCTCAAGTCTGCAAGTTAATTAATAGATATTAGATTGTCAAGAGAAAAATTATAATAAACAATAAAAATTATCTATATCATCAGAATTAACATCATCAGTACAGTAGGTCAGTACTCAGTACCTACTAACTAGAACATGATTAAGTTTTTATCATTGATTAAACGATTATTTTTAGCTGCAATTCTTGGAAAATTCTGCTTGATACTCTAGATTTATTAACAAATTTGTGCTTACCTGCTTTTCAGTTTTTTTTTTTTTTTTGAAAAGGGTATTGACTAAAACCTGGTCCCAGACTGAGTGACTACCTAAAACCTTTGAAGAGCATTCACAAGTCAGAATTCTGGATTTTGCATTGGTATCTACATAATCTGTAGGTAGACTGTTACTGCAGCCCTAGTATGGAATATATCTACTTGGCGAGCCGCGACTGAATTTTTCAAATTTCAGTAGGCATGAAATCTCACAGTTCTAATGTCAGCCTGTCAGGTATGTATTTGTTTGATTGAAAAAATTGCAGTTTGCACTCTCTGGACTCTGAGTAGAAATGTAGATTAAAAATGAACTAATTCTAAAAAGTCTATGGTTTGTCAGGTTTGACTGTTACTTTGACACTATGCATCATCATTGCCAAATCAACAATTGAGTAGGCATTCACATTACTGAGTAGTGAGTACTACTACTACTAATAAGAAGTGCACTAAGCAGTAACTCTAGTCTAACTTCTAAAGTTCTAAGCACTAGCCACTAGTCAGGTCAGCGGTCACCAAAATCAAGCCACCGGACACCGGTGCCACATCTGTGATCTACGGTCTACCTACCAAATATTGAAATAAAGATCCCTATAACTACTTTGTTGATAATGATCAATAATTTAGAAATGCCTCTTGGTCAAAATTTCAACAAAAGTAAGATAATATATTATAGTCAAAGCAAAAGAGCATACACATTTTTTAGCATACGTTGCCACACGTTTTTTCAAAACTTGGAAGATCAAGATACTCCAGTGTTTACTGTTTACCAACAATACGTTTGTTTCTTTAATCACAAGATTGAAGTAAGATGGAATTAATTAAATTGACGGCTTTCAAGGAGAGCAACACCGTAAGCAAATAATGGCATATAATATGCTAATTAAACAGTATCATTGACTTTTCAGGCTCCAGTAATTTGCATTTCATCATTAAAGCCAAAAACTATACTGTCATCGGCACGCGTTGATTTTTCCTATTTAAGTACAAATATTTATCAAAGCCCTAAACTCGCTTCTCCATGAAACTTGGCACACGTATTCGTTACGAACTTACGACTAACGGTGCTGTTTAGGTCGAGGCATTTTTTTCGATTTTACCTTATACATATAGTTATTTACCCGAGTTTAACGGCTATACAGGTAAAATCCACGGTGATATACAATCATTTCGATTCTGCGCAACAGACGTGAAATAAACTTTGAAATTGCATTATAAAGCACCTAACGGTGATGTCTAGGTCGTAAATTTTATTTAGATTTTGCTTTCAACCGCGAGTAATACGGCTGTACGGAAAAACGACCGGAATTTCTGGACAGATTTTGCGGCTGATTCTCAAATTTACAGTTACCATGATATATATCCCAAATTAAAGACCACAGGTCGATGAAGCTTGGCGCATGTATTGTTTGGACCTAACGGTGATGTTTAAGTCGTAATGATTTTTTCGCTTCCACTTTCGTTCGTGATTTATCCGGTGTTACTCTAAATTCATCGAAATCTTGCCTGACGAACGTCTACTGTTACGACCCACCGCCTGAGTTCTGTTCTAACCGTTGAGGTAGGAGGTTGTTTGTGCTGAGCTCCCGTGACAGTAGTCGGCTTCGGCCGGCTGCTACGTCATCTTTCTGGAACTATCCTCCTCAAACATTGAAAATGCCGTGCTGTCCCGCTCCGAGGCGTTGAGCCGGCGAATGGTNGATGCCCAAGCTTGCACCAGCATCGTCATGCTATGTCCCAAGCTTACACCAGCATCGGCATGCGATGCCTCGACACCAATCGACTGGCGATAGTCCATGCCTTCATCATTGAGGTATGGACTCCAGCTATCAACTTTCATAATACCGGATTTGTCGGAATTAGCGCCTGTTTTCGAAGTAATTTTCGAGCTTTGGTATATAATAATATAAGCTAATGATTAATATGAGCTAATGATTAGTGAAACTTGCTCGTTATAATGAATTTCATTTACTATTATTATTATATAAATTGTTTTATTTATTATATCTACTTTATTATATAGAGGCGCTAATTAATAAATAAGGTCAACATGGGCTTTATTGTCTTTAATTCGAAGTAATTAAAACAAAAATATCTAAGTAATAATTTAATGTGCATATTCCCTTACAATTTGTTGATAAATAATATATGTAGAAATTAGTGATGTATGATGAATACAAACTTTAATCTCAAGAATGAACTCAAATAAATACTGCATAAAATAAATTATGTATACATGAAATGAATAAAAATTTCAGTTGAGTCAATCTATATTATTTAATCAATCTATATTATTTAGGACGGTCCGACGATGCAGCCAGAAAGAGGGTAATGAAGAGGGTTATTAGGAGGATAATAAAGCGGTAAATGGAGAGAGTAATCAAGTGTAAGGAAGAGCGTAAATAAGAAGGTAATAAAGAAAGTAATGGAGAGGGTAATGAGGAGTATAATTACGAGGTTAATGAAGAGAGTAATATGGAGTGTTATTTGGAGGGTAATTAAGAGGGTAATGAAAATTGTAATGAAGAGGACAATGAAGAGGGAATGAAGAGGGTAATGAGGAGGGTAATGAAAAGGGTAATCAAGAGGTAAATGAAGCGCATAATGAGGCGCGTAATGAAGAGGGTAATGAAGAGGGCAATGAGGAGGGTAATGAAGAGGGTAATGATGAGGGTAATGAAAAGGGTAATCAAGAGGTAAATGAAGCGCGTAATGAAGAGGGGTAATGAAGAGGCTTTTCAGAGCTACGTGCAAAAAGTTAGTCATTATTTTGACAATAAAATTCATTTATTTACTAAGCGTACCATCAAGCTCACTTGTTCATAAATGAGTGTTAGTATCATCAGCTCCTCGTAACAATTAAGGCAATAATAAATAAATAAAATCTACAAACATAACAATAACTGAAAACCTATTGACTATTTTATATCATATGAACACACACAACAGGAAGCCGCAGGTCAAACATATGCCCCAGACAACGCGTGCGCTGTTTGTCACGCAAGCTATAACATCAAGAATCTTATAATAAAATACAATTGATTTGTAAACAATATCCCATCATAGTGTGAATAGTATATAATTTCCAGCGAAGCTAATTGAAACTAGTTATCTCCAACACGTTGCAAAACATCTTATTAAATACCAGGCGATTTTCCCTCAGCAGCATTTCATTCTTACTAGATTATACGTTTAAATAATATGACAATCAGATAATATGCAATTGAGATAATATGCAATTGAAAAAATATACAATCAGATAATATGCAATATACGGGACTGAGTTAGATGGAATGCTAGACACTGAGTCAGCATCAACATCACGTAAGCGAGACCGCCCTCTGTGGGCGAAAGCCCAAGTCTGTAACAGAAGCTCTAGGCACTTTAATAAGTCCCTCCTCCAGTGGCTTGCACAACCGCAGCGATGTAGCACTCATAGCGGGAGTTACTCCGACCTGACAGTAGAAGATGTTAGTCGTGTACCTGTACCTATGTAATGACTGTTGTCTTTACCACCCATTTCTTAAGATAAAAGGTATCTTTACTTATCTCTCACATATAACGGTCGAAGGTATTAGCTGTGTACCTGTACTTATGTAATGACTGTTGTCTTTACCACCCATTTCTTAAGATAGAAGGTATCTCTACTTATCGCTCACATATTACGGTCGAAGGTGTGAGCTGTGTACCTGTACCTATGCAAAGTCCGTTGTCTTTACCACCCATTTCTAGATAGAAGGTATCTTTACTTATCTCTCACATATAACGGTCGAAGGTATTAGCTGTGTACCTGTACCTATGTAAAGGCTGTTGTCTTTGCCACCATATCTTAAGATAGAATGTATCTTTACTTATCCCTCACATATAACAGTCGAAGGTGTTAGCTTTGTACCTGTACACCTGTACCTATGTAATGAATCTTGTCTTTACCACCCATTTCTTAAGATAGAAAGTATTTTTACTTTACATAGTCATCGAATTACTGACTCAGGTTGATGGTATGAGATATATTAATCAGGGTGGCACGTGATTATTATCCCGGACATCGACGCCTTAATATTGCCTTTTGAATAGATCATCATGGCCAGTCTAAATTCATGAAAAATGTAATGGGCCATATTATCCATTCACTCTCTTGACTGGGTCAAGATGACATATAGAAGGCAAAAAGTTTATCGCTATTAGGACAAAGTTCCATTCATTCCTGTGAATGAATTTCTGTACCTTCCACAGGCCGGCGCGATCACCCAGCTAGAAAGGAGTCATATTCCAAATAGCGATGCAATTTATTGCTATAGATTAGGTCATTCTGAGCAAATTTGGCCTGACAACGTAGCGTATCAGTGCTACGTCCTCTCTTTGCTCGTACTGTGGGCAAGTAAGCGTGTCATTATTTAGACAACATGAAACATTTTTGAGTGAACAGGGGAGATCCAGTGTCCACCTTACCGTAAGAAAGAACTCAGCGGCGTTGGAGTCCTAAGTGGTAGTAGAATTGCAGGATAGGATCGAGCCTCACTGTCAACTATTATAATGAATAGTCGGCTCATTCATGTTGGCCAATCGCGAGCAGTCTTACCAATCACCATAACAATCATCAATTACAAATCACCAAAACAATCGTCGTTACAATCACCGTTGATCGCAGCCACTCATCGTAGGGCCATCGGTCACTAAAATGTGATACCACTTATACCGCTTCAACAATCATCCCTCTCAATTGACATTTATTTCTATAACGTCATTAGGTTGATACCTTTTAAAAAATGGAAATATATTTTTTCTATAAGGCTTCAGAAGTCGACGTACTTCTTTTGGTTTTCAATGCGTCAAAACACGAGAAATCAAGATCTTACCTATGTTCACCAGAAACCAAGATCTTGTCTATCCTCAACGGAAACTAAGATCTAACCGATCTTTCACGAAAAAATGCGTGAAAACATTAAATAAAAAAAAGACAATGTACAGGGCGAACATCAGCTCGGCTAGACAATTTCTATCTGTGTCTAGTCAGATAAGATCAAATGAAAATGTCTGGACGAGTGTGTACATTTTCAGTGGTGACTTAGTTTAAAAAATGGACGCATGTTGTCCGTGATCAGGCGTTTTTTAGTGTTCGTATCAAATTAACGGATGCTCACGCATTTTCTGCAGCGAAAAACATTGTGGTTGTTTCGTCCGACGTAGTAGCCTCAGAAGTTGTGGGAACTTCCGTAGGTCGCGATTCCATCTTGATAATTTCAGACGTTTTGTCTTCATCTATGAGTGCTTGTCCATTTTCAGGAGGAGAATTTGGCACTTCTGATTTTGCTCGTCGAATATTAGTCTCATTTCTGTTATTGTTGGCGGTCACAACGCTGCTTGATCCAAAAACGACAGGCGCTCGTGCGGGGCTAGGATCTTTATCGGTCTGGGATTTGACCGATACTTTCTTGTGGTAAGGAGCCGTTCTGATTTTCGGAGCCTGGATCAACTGAACAATGCTTGCTCTGGGTCCTAGTATTCCAGATGAAGCAAGAACATTTCCAAGCTGGAACATATTGCCGGGATTCTTTTCTGGTACTTCAGGGTTTTCTTTTCGTATGTTAGCGTCTCCTCTTGCGAGTGTATTGGAGGTTTCAGAGGCAGAAAAGTCCATTCTGGGTGTCCCACGATGAATAGGTTGAGCTGTCACGACGTATGGCGCATGGCTGACTTGACCGACAACCACTTTGTTATTTCGGCTGGACGAATCTGTTTCAGGGAAATACTCGACAGAGAATACTTGGCCTATACCTTCGTAGTTTCCATCTTCTGATGCCGACTTTTGGAATCCAAAATCATGAGAAATGATCCCAGCGTCGTACTTTTTAGCCTTTGAACCAGATTCTCCTATTCCATAGTCATTTGGATAAGGGGTTTTAGCATCTTGGAGTTCCCCAAAGTTATAACCGGCTGGCGGTGGTGAATAGTCTTTTGAACTTGACTTCTGGAATCCAAAATCATGAGGAATGATCCCAGTGTCGTACTTTTCAGCATTTAAAGCAGATTCTTCTATTTTTCCATAGTCATATGGATAAGGGGTTTTAGCGTCATGAACTTCCCCAAAGTTATAATCGGCTGGCGGTGGTGAATAGTTTTCCCCACGTTCGAATATTTCGCTATTAGGGAGTTGGGGAGGGCAGTAATAGATATCGCAATCCCCAGAATCCAACCCGACCTTGGCAGCCTTGTCGATGCGGTCCACAACTGTCTGCCAGCTCGAAGGTTCGGTCAGCTTTTCCCTGGACGATAAAAACAAAATTTAAATCACATTTACAAAATTACGACTCGTTTGCTCCGAACCACAGGTACGCAAACATAAATACATATTATACCAGATCATGAATAGTTTACTTCATCTAAAAGTTCTAATTCGAAAGTGAAAAGTTTATTGACAAGGGAAACAGAATTATAAGACCATAGGGACTTAAGATTGAATTTATTAATCATAGCTGCTTGACACGGACTGAGTTCCGTACAGTTTCCACAAGCCAGAATGTATTAAGCTTTTTTGTTAGTTCAAATCCAGCTAATAAAGTGAAGATCTCGTGGATTCTGAGTTGTCAGCCATCAATCGCCTATAGTTTTACATCGGAGTACACTTGGTGGAAGCCTTGGATACTGAACCCAATGAGGCCTCCAAGAACCAGCTGAGTACCCTTAAGAACCCGTTGAGGACCTCATATACCCGCTGAGGCCACTCGTGCCTGATGTTCGAACCGCGTAGCCGCTGACGTTCCTGTGTACCCGCTGAGGTGCTCACGTACACGCTGGAGGGCAGCATACCCGCTGATGAACCAACATACCCGCTGAGGGGCCTAACTTACCCGCTGAAGGCCAAAATTATCAGCTGAGGGGCCTAACTTACCCGCTGAAGGCCAAAATTACCCGCTGAGGGGCCTAACTTACCCGCTGAGAGCGTGGAGAGCGCGGCTGGTGCGGCTAGGGTCGCGACACACCATGCGCTCCAGACAGCTGTAGGAGGACGGCTCGGGGGACGTGAACACCTGCGAGGGTAACGAGACGAGGGATGACGTGTGACAAGTGAGGAATGATCGGCGACTTGTGATAGGAGACTTCGGGGTGACCGGTCATGGATGACGGGAGATATCGTTCAAGGTATGACAAACATCATCGATATGGTGAACCCACTTTACGGGGCCACTTATCGTGGGGGTGCGTCAAATTTTAATGGCAAGGTGAACCAACTCGCCGTAAGGGTGCAATAAACTTTAACGGTAAGGTGAACCCACTCATCCTGGGAGTGGACTACACATCTATATGATGATTCCACTCACAGTAGGATTATAATAATTGAGTTCGTTGAGTGGGCGCTCATTAGCGTGGGCCGACAAGGGAGCTTCTCCATCGAGAGAGACGTAGTTGAGGTGGTGTTCAGTGCCGTCTGCAGCTCCGTACCTACAATGACGGTAAATGTAAGATCGTTGATACATTATAACGCTATATTCACTCAATAAATCCTTGATATATTTACACTAGTATGGGCAATTTCGATAAATATTCACGCACGCTGAATACGCCGCCTCATCCACATCGTGGAAGACCATCGTGTGGCTGCTGAGTTCACCATCGTCACCGTACGAATAGGGTGAAGCTGATACAACTGGTACTGTTGATACAGCAGGTACAGCTGGTGCAGCCGATATATCTACAACAGGTGGTGATGCTGGTACAGCTGGTGCAGCAGGTGCAAGTGCATAGAGAACTTGTCCCCCGTTCCTGCGAGAAAGAAAATTTGACCATCGTAAAAATTTTGTATTGATCATACGGCTAAATGATTAATTGAGAAGGCAAGTTCCCTCGAGGATCAGGGTTTCAAGGCTAGGAATAACCGCTGTTTATGATCAACCAAATCTCAGGGAAAGCTAACCCAGTATGGGTTGATAATGCGCCAATGTGAGAAAAAGGAGTCATAAACTAATAAAATGTAGTTAACATTGCAGAATTTGAGCCAAAAACGGAAGAAATAGGTTGAAAATTACGCAAAGGAGTTATAATAGATGTGGTTCAACATTACGCTATGACAGTGAAGCCGCAAATGATGATGTGTGGTTAAACCTTACAAGAAAAAAGCACAGGCAAAGAAAATGAGGTTAGTTATTAAAAAAAATCAAAGGAACTGCAATAATTGAGATGAATACGAATTTATCACCTGGTTCCACCGCCTTTCTTGCCCTTCCCCTTGCCCCCAAATTTAGAGGACTCTGGGTAAGCTTCGTGTTCGTAAGTCTCGAGGCCGTAGACCGGCTGAGCATACGATGGTGTGGCTGCTGCGTAAGTACCATACCCATCGTACTCTGTACTGGTACCGTACAATGCGTACAATGTCTGCTCTTCATCTTCCTCTTTCTTTTTCCTTTCGTATTCGTCGACGATAGTTTGACCTTCTTTGAAGTAGGGGATGGCGAGAGCGATTATGGCGATCACGAGTCCAGCGTTCAAGGCGCCATAAACGATCGGCCATTTGCTTTTCTTGATCTTCTTCTTGGCGAAGATGGCTCGGGTGAGGGCAGGCTCCTCTAACGCCTGTCGGACGAAATAAGTAATTATTTTATGAAAATAACGCGTCAATGAACAATAACAGAGAAGCTAGCTGGCATCCTAGAGTTGAGTACCTGGGGCCATACTCTCAAAACTCGCTAAGTGAACGTAAGTACTTACGCTCTACTTTCTTGTCTATGATTGGCGGGTTTTGCTTGAAAGGCCGTCAATGATTGGCTGATGAACTTACGATCTCTTAACTTTTTTGAAAGTATAGGCCCAGGATTGGAGCAGAGAGGCGCGGGTTCGATCCCAGCTCTGTGCGCCAGTTTCTGGTCAAAATCGGCAGAGGCCGGGCGGATAAGCAAAGCAGAATTGGTGCAGTGAGTTGTGAGTTCGAGACCGCGATAACTGTGAATATTCTACGATGTTAAGAACCGGCGACAGGCTCACGGTCTAATAACGCTGATACCACTTTAAGTGAAATCAATAGGACTAAATGTCAAACATACAACTAAATCAGAGAAGCTATGGTAGCAACTCAAATAAGAAATAACTAACCATTTACTTGGTAGTATATAAGTATAACGGATAGCCAGTAGATTAGCTGGCAACTCTTATATGTAGGCTGTAAAATAGCTGGCAAATATAATGTGAAATTCATAAGGTTCATTGTCAACCTTAAAGTGAAAACAGAGAAGGCAGTATTATTCGTCTAAATAACTTATCTGTATTAAAGTAAAGTTAAAGGTAAGTTATCTGTTTTAAAGTAAAATTTTCTCAATAAGTGTATGATTTAATGTCGGTATATGTGTTAGATCAATTCTTTGTTATTTCAGTAATTAATTATGTTTGTTCTTACCTGCACTGATAAGAAGTGAATTGAACAAATTGTATTATGAATACTTCAAAAGATTAAAAACACATTTCCTTACATTATTATCAGAAAAGCAGAAATGAAATACGAATGCACAAATAAACGTAAAAGTAGTCGTTCAAAGTGCACAGTCATGAGTCAAGAGTCAACATTGAGTCGTGAGTCAACATTGAGTCAAGAGTCAACATTGAGTCAAGAGTCAACGTTGAGTCAAGAGTCAACATTGAGTCAAGAGTCAACGTTGAGTCAAGAGTCAACGTTGAGTCAAGAGTCAACATTGAGTCAAGAGTCAACGTTGAGTCAAGAGTCAATTGAGTCAAGAGTCAACGTTGAGTCAAGAGTCAACGTTGAGTTAAGAGTCAACGTTGAATCATGAGTCAACATTGAGTCAAGAGTCAATGAATCAAGAGTCAGTGAGTCAAGAGTCAATGAGTCAAGAGTCAACGCTGAGTCAAGAGTCAACGTTGAGTCAAGAGTCAACGTTGAGTCAAGAGTCAACGTTGAGTCAAGAGTCAACTTTGAGTCAAGAGTCAACGTTGAGTCAAGAGTCATCGTTGAGTCAAGAGTCAACGTTGAGTTTGGCCTTCTTTGATTTTAGTTAGAAGTTAGAACTTTGTCTTTAGTTAGAACTTAGAACAAAGTTAGAACTTTGACAACGTTGAGTCAAGAGTCCATGACACACATACCTGCCCGCCTTGTATTTTTTGTCCGCGAGTTCGGGCGATTTTCTGCACGTGCAAAACGTAGGAGATGTTCAATTATTTTGTAGGTAAGTAGGAAGAGAGTAAGTAGGATGAAAATAAGTAGAAAAAAAGTAAATATGAAAAAATTAAATGTGAAGAAAGTAAGAGGAAGAAGTATACGCAGGAAGAAAGTACATACGAAAAAAACACGTAGGAAGAAAGTAAGTAGGGTCGAGGAAGGTAAGGAAACATGAAGCAAATACGTAAATAGGTAGTAAGTAGGGGCTAGTAAACAGGAAAAAAATGAGTATTGGAGGTAATTAAGTAGGGAGGAACTAGTCAGGGTGTCGGTCAGTAGTAAAATGGTAAGTAGAAGGAGCGCGATGACGAAGATTATGTTAATGAAAATAAAGCAACAAGCGTGTACAAAGAGCAGCAAGTTCCAGCCATGCAGTTGACGTTGAAACACAATGAGCTGAACCATGTATGCAATTGTATTATCTATGTATAGTACTGTATGATATAGTATAGCACTGTATGGTATTGTATAGTACTGTATAATATAGTATAGTACTGCATAGTATTGTATAGTACTGTATAATATAGTAGGATAAGGAAATACGGGCGTAGATAGAATAATATTCGGCAAGACCTAAAAGGAAAAGACAGGATTTGGGAAGACCTAAAAGGAAAAGACAGGATTTTGGAAGACCTAAAACGAAAAAAAACAGGATTTGGGAAGACCTAAAAGGAAAAGACAGGATTTTGGAAGACCTAAAACGAAAAAAACAGGATTTGGGAAGACCTAAAACGAAAAGACAGGATTTGGGAAGACCTAAAAGGAAAAGACAGGATTTTGGAAGACCTAAAACGAAAAAAAAACAGGATTTGGGAAGACCTAAAACGAAAAGACAGGATTTGGGAAGACCTACATGGAAAAACAGGATTCGGGAGTCTTAAAACAAAACAGAAACTGCCAGTATATGAGTATATAGTCATTGAAACAGATAACAATTGACAAAAAGATAGCATTTTTAAAATGAATGCATAATATTTCTAGAATATCTCATAACATTAAGTGCCAGATACTGTCTGCCTTGTATGACATTAATATTTTAACTGGATAAGATGAAACCTCCTACTCCTTCAGTAAGAAGAAAAAAAGCAAATGCAAGTTCACAAAAACCGTCAATATATAATTTATATTTAGCCACTTTTCGTGGCTAAGATTCTTAAAAGAAATAAGATTACTAATAAAGATTCTTATAAGATTCTTTTCGTGGTCTAAAGAAATTCTCATAGAAGAGAATTATTCTCTTATACTTTAATAAGTTTATAAATTAACGTACGTTAGAGATGGCCGAGTCCGAGGCGGCCGTCTGACTAGCCGCCTCAATGCGGTGCTTCAGGCTCTGTAGGTCAGCGTCCTGAGGGCGTGAACTTTCGAGTTAGAACTTTAATGCTATACATGAACTTTGATGATGGGTGATGTTGATGATGGGTGATGTTGATGATGGGTGATGTTGATGATGGGTGATATTAATGATGGGTGATGTTGATGATGGGTGATGTTGATGATGGGTGATGTTGATGATGGGTGATGTTGATGAGGGTGATGTTACTGAGGGTTACGTTGACAAAGATGATGTAGCTGATGATAATGTTGTTTAGGTAATGTTGGTTATTATATTGTTAAGAATAATCATGTCGGTTGTAAAGGCGTTATTAATATGAGCGTCGTCGGTCATAATTCGATATAAAATAATTTATGGTTTATGAAAATATCACTGTTGAATATAACTGATTTTCATATAATCTGATATACACGGCATAAACACCACAACACGCTTTTTATTTTCTGCAAATTGCAGCGCTGCTGCCGTCGCCAACGGCCACTCTTCTAACGCACAGACCAAATAACATTTCTTCCTGATTTCTTCCATGAAACTCAATCAATTAATATAACAAAATTAATAATTATAGTATACAATCATGTAATGTGTATGTCAAGAGTCATGCAAACTGACATAGTTGGCGGGGACGACATCTTCCCCAGCCTGCCGCTGCTGGGGCTCTTCTGGGGCGCCTCTAGCCTCCTGGGGACCTGTCATGGCGCCCCACATAGTCCTCAGGAACCTTTAATACAGCAATGGTCAATATTGTACAGCAATGATCAAGTACCTTAATGGTCAATATTGATGTACATCAATGGTCAATATTGTAGATAAATGGTCCTCTACGTCAATGGTCAATATTGTACATAAATGATCAAGTACCTTAATGGTAATTATTGATGTACATCAATGGTCATTATCGTACATCAATGGTCAATATTGTACATCAATGTCAAGTACATCAATGGTCAATATTGTACATCAATGTCAAGTACATCAATGGTCAATATTGTACATCAATGTCAAGTACGTCAATGGTCAATATTGTACATCAATATTTGATGCTCGAAGTGAACTTTCATGTTAGAACTTTGATGCTCGAAGTGAACTTTCGTAATAGAACTTTAACGCTCGAAGTGAACTTTCCAGTTAGAACTTTGATACTCGAAGTGAACTTTAGAGTTAGAACTTTGATGCTCGAAGTGAACTTTTGAGTTAGAACTTTGATGCTCGAAGCGAACTCTCGAGTTAGAACTTTGATGCTCGAAGTGATCTTTCGAGTTAGAACTTTGATGCTCGAAGTCTACATTCGAGTTAGAACTTTGATGCTCGAAGCGATGAACTTTAGAGTTAGAACTTTGATGCTCGAAGTGAACTTTTGAGTTAGAACTTTGATGCTCGAAGGAACTTTCGAGTTAGAACTTTGATGCTCGAAGTGAACTTTCGAGTTAGAACTTTGATGCTCGAAGTGAACTTTCGAGTTAGAACTTTGATGCTCGACATGAACTTCCATGTTGATGATGGCCGCCGGCCGGGTGATGTTGATGATGGATGATCTTGATGATGGGTGATGTTGCTGAAGTGTGATTTCTTCCATGATATTCAATTAATTAACAAAACAAAGTTATACTATTACAATGAAGTTTATATTGCGTTATATCATAAAATTTGTATGTCAATAGCCATGCAGACTGACATAGTTGGCGGGGACGACATCTTCTCCAGCCTGCCGCTGCTGAGGCACTTCTGCGACGCCTCTAGCCTCCTGGGGACCTGTCATGGCACCCCACAAGTTCCTCAGGAACCTGTAGTACATCAATGGTCAATATTTATGGTGATTAACAAATGAAATGTAATTAAATTCATCAATTGGCATAATATCGCATTCCTCACAAGTTTTTCAAAGTCCTGGGCCACTTAAATTTTAATGTGAGTGTTGGATTTTACCCGCTGTACAAATGTGTCGTCTTTCAAAATGTGTCTTTTTTGTTCAGTTCCGAAGCTCATTCGTGCAATTTGGTATATATATTGCCTTTAATTTCAGGCTGTGCTACAACCAGTCGACATAATGTCACAGTAAAGTGGTGTATAGATGCAACAATGAGGTTTATGGTTGCAACAATGTGGTGTATGGATGCAACGTATTATTTTACACTCACAATTAGGCTGGTCGCCATTGTGTTCATGTTGTTCTTCATTGTTCTAGACATGATATTAGACGGTCGTTTATATATTCACGGTAGCAGTTTAGAATTGAATTAAGGTACATATTAATTATAAAATAAAAATAAATCAACCATACATGTTGGTTGTGTGGAACTATTTAAGAATTTTGATTGAGTTAGGAAGAACACACGAGGCATATTGTAGTAAAATAAACTAGGACAGCGACATTTGACGCAGCATGATTTGTAAAAATTGTTTACCAATTGGAGGAATAAATATATCCATAGAATGTACATATGGGGTGTTTTTGAGATATGTAGAACACTCTGAGGTATGTAGAACCACTTAGGGGTATGTAGAATCACTTAGAGGTATGTTCAATATCCACTTCTTGGTTCCATGGGAAGACCCGCCTGCAAGCAAGGATAAATCACCCAGAGGCAAGTTAATCCCACTTTAAAGCAAAAAAGACTCACCCGAAGGCGAGCAAAACCCACCTGGAAGCGGGCGAGACCTACCTGAGAGCATGCAAGGCCTGTCTCTTATACACATCTAGATGTGTATAAGAGACAGGTTCATAATAACGGAACTATATGCCTAAGACTATTGCAAGTCAAGCTATCCCCTTTAACCTTCCCCGAGTTTTACGGTTGCATGGTTACATACTTTTGGTTAATAAGTTTAGTACCGTATTAACACATTACATAGCATTAACATGTAACCTTAAAACTTGCAGAGGGCTTATGGAAATATTCATTATACGAGTTGTGCGAGTGGATGCTAAGCGAATAATAGTGCGAGTAAATGCTGTGGTGCCCAAGTGGCAACACTGGCAACAGGCAACACTGCATCACACTTGAAATCGGAGAACCGCTATCTAGACCGAGATTGTAAGACCAGTCGTCACCGGGGTCGGACGTAAGGCCGCCTCCTAGTAGTAGCGTAGCAGTCTTTCAATGTTATTTTTGCAGTTAATTATTCTGATAGTTATTTATTCTTTTTGTTGCAGATTCTGTTTATTGATAGGAAAATTCCCCGATAAATTCGGTATAGACCTCATCTGAGGTGAGTTCCGTTATTTCCACTTGTTAAAATGCGATTGTTAGCAAACTGTCATATTGTAATAGCTAATAAGATATCTTTATTTATTTGTAATAAAACTTGTATCCTCTACAGGTCTAAGAAGTAGGAGGAGTAATTAAAACTCAAATAAAATATTGTTTCCGTTCTACTCCTCTTCAGACCCACCTGAAAAGGACAAAACCCACCTGAAAGAGACAAGACCCGACCGAAAGGGACAAGACCCACCCGAAAAAGACAAATCCCACCCGAAATGAAGAAGACCCATCCGAAAAGGACAAATCCCACCCGAAATGGACAAGACCCACCCGAAAAGGACAAGACCCATCCGAAATGGGCAAGACCCACCCGAAAAGGACAAATCCCACCCGAAATGGACAAAACCCACCCGAAAGGGACAAGACCCACCTGAAAAGGACAAATCCCACCCGAAATGGACAAGACCCACCCGAAAGGGACAAGACCCACCCAAAAAGGACAAATCCCACCCGAAAAGGACGAGACCCACCCGAAATGGACAAATCCCACCCGAAATGGACAAGACCCACCCGAAAGGGACAAGACCCACCTGAAAAGGACAAATCCTACCCGAAATGGACAAGACCCACCCGAAAGAGACAAGACCCAACCGAAAGGGACAAGACCTGTGGTGCCCAAGTGGCAACACTGGCAACAGGCAACACTGCATCACACTTGAAATCAGAGAACCGCTATCTAGACAGAGATTGTAAGACCAGTCGTCACCGGGGTCGGACGTAAGGCCGCCTCCTAGTAGTAGCGTTCTTTCAATGCTGTTTTTGCAGTTAATTATTCTGATAGTTATTTATTCTTTTTGTTGCAGATTCTGTTTATTGATAGGAAAATTCCCCGATAAATTCGGTATAGACCTCATCTGAGGTGAATTCCGTTATTTTCACTTGTTGAAATGCGATTGTTAGCAAACTGTCATATTGTAATAGTTAATAAGATATCTTTATTTATTTGTAATAAAACTTGTATCCTCTACAGGTCTAAGAAGTAGGAGGAGTAATTAAAACTCAAATAAAATATTGTTTCCGTTCTACTCCTCTTCAGACCCACCTGAAAAGGACAAAACCCACCTGAAAGAGACAAGACCCGACCGAAAGGGACAAGACCCACCCGAAAAAGACAAATCCCACCCGAAATGAAGAAGACCCATCCGAAAAGGACAAATCCCACCCGAAATGGACAAGACCCACCCGAAAAGGACAAGACCCATCCGAAATGGGCAAGACCCACCCGAAAAGGACAAATCCCACCCGAAATGGACAAGACCCACCCGAAAGGGACAAGACCCACCCAAAAAGGACAAATCCCACCCGAAAAGGACGAGACCCACCCGAAATGGACAAATCCCACCCGAAATGGACAAGACCCACCCGAAAGGGACAAGACCCACCTGAAAAGGACAAATCCTACCCGAAATGGACAAGACCCACCCGAAA